ATATACTAGTTTTTGACCCTCTTGAAGTTCGAACCATGCTTATCGCGGGATACTAAGTCGAAAAGGAAAATATTGGATAGAATAAAGTCGGAAAGAATATAATAAATTAACAAATTTCGCATTGGTGAGTTTGCGAATATGAAGATGAGTTTTGTCGTATCTCCTCGTTGATCTGTCGTATGAAATATGCCTCAAGCAACAATAACAAGAGGAATCACACCTTCTGCTGACCATCACACTGAGAAGGAAACTTGCAAGTGAGCCAAGGCGAATTATAGCCCCATAAGGCCCTCTCATCAGACAGCAAAGCCGTATCCCTCGCCCGTTCTGGTATGACCTTACCATAACTCGGTATGTCCGCTGGTGGTCGCAAGTCAGCGACTGGTTCTTCGCCGGATGAACTGAGGCAATGTGAGGTAAGTTCACTGCTCAAGAAAATTCATTGTTACGACAAAGATCTCCCTCGTCCAGAATTCGAAGCCAGCCATCCGAATTCGATGACACTGTGCCAACTTGAAGGCTGAGCTACGTCGTCAAAGGGATAAAACACAGAGTTTAAAGTGGCATTTTCTGAAACTGTTACGAATTTGTTCGAAGCAGTCAGAACTAACGAATTAGTAAAAACTGCATGTTGAAACAACGTCGTTGATGACACTCCAAAGGAAAAGCATTAGAAATACCAACGACATTTTTGAACACGTTTGAGGTGACGGTAACTGGCTAGTGAAAGCAACATATCAAATATGATCTCCTGTTATATGGCAGGAAAAAGTCCGTCTTCCCTACAGCTTCATGATCTGAATCATTTTTAATATGCACTTTTTCATGAAGTATATGATGCAATAATATCTTCGTTTCAACGTTGTTAGCCAGAAAAATACCGTTATTTATTCCTTCTTTGCTTTCTTTCCTATGGCAATATCCGTAACTTGAAGATTAACCGCGTATGGTCTTCTGTTTTCCTCCCAGAAAATTATCATCAATCCAGCTGTAAAGAAAGGAAGGCGATAAACCCGACCTGGACTTGAACTCATCCCCTCTTGAATCTGACGATTTACTGGCTAAGCAACCGCCGTTGTGACGAATTGTGAGTACACATAAGTATCGAATAAAAAATTAGCTGAATTAAGCGTTATTAATAATACATGAATCCCACAGCATAGCCAACAAAACTTGAAATTGATCATCATACTATCGAGCTTCAAATCGCGTCGCTTTGCCGTGCATGTTTTACTATATGTCATTGTTTTCTACTAAATAATGGCCTGAAAATTATTAATGTTCCCATTAACCTCGTTGCGGTGTCGAACTGGCTGTCGTTCGAGCAACAGAGCGAAACGACTTGGCACCCATGCATTGCAAACGCCAGACTGTCAGTAAGGTAAGCAAAGCTCGTCTAACGAGTCCCCCCCCCCTCAAGAAAAATGCTAGAAGCAAGATGATTGAGTGATGCTTCTCGGCGTGAATCCAGATATACAACGCGTATATGTTATATGCATCATTTTTCCTTCATCTGTGTAACTTTCCCTGTGCATCTGTGGCAACAGTCGCTGACTGTTGGCGTCCTAGGGTCAATGAACGGAAACGTGATGAAAGGAAGCACCAACGTCCAATGGGCCGTTGAAAATAATAAGGGCAGAACAGCACATGCAACTGACGTTGAGACTGCGTTGCAACTTTTTTTTCTGCTGACCAATTATTTCCGCCATTTCACTAAGGAAGATTCCACTAACAAGCTTCTTCGTACCGTTCTCTTGAATGCATGACAATCATTTCCATGAAAAATGGGCCGCTTCTTATTTCAAGAACCGAGCACGTTGTCGTCATGGTCATCAATATCGTTTTTGGTGGTGTAGTGTTATTGCTGTCTGAAATGTAACTGATTATTTTCGCACTGCTTCCAAGTCTTGTAGCACCACAAAACTTCCATATTTTATTACGGTCACGGTACTCGTTGTCCGTAAGTGAAATGAGTGTCAGCGAGTGAAACGCAGCGGTTGCCGTATTTCCCATGCCTTTAGTGTCATGGAACTCCAATGACTAGTTTACATATGGCAAACTCGCTGTTCTTGCGTGGCACATTTTTCAAGACTCATCTGATCCTCACTCCATGGTCATCATCACTTCGAATCTGCACACAGGAAAAAGACCAATTTTGTGTTGTTTATTAGACTAATACGGTCGGGTGACGCCAAAAACAAAGCAAGAAGAGCGAAAGTTGTTGATTGTTCAGCGGCGCAGCGTTTTTACGAATAGCACATGACATGTTCAAGGAAACTAACAAAAAATGATGCTCCATTTCCTACGTTTTTATATTCGCTACACTTAAACTGCGAATAGGCCAACGCAAAACTTGTTTGACACTTGTCCCGCGATCGAGCAGAATTTTACTCATCATTGGAAGCACGTGACAATAGTGCAAGTATCTCCCTCAAAGCCAGATTTCACCGTCACTTCGCTACTCGTAGCCTAAGGGGGCCATTTAAACAAGCAACGGTCATTTGACATTTGCAGGTGCACGGTCAAATGACGGTTACAGCTCCAGATCTTGAAGCGTCGTGGTGATGAGAGCGAGGCGACTTTAGTGAACAAAATGATACCAGATGCACCTGGTACTGCAAGTGCTCAAGTACCATCGAGTCGTGGTCTGACTGAATGCCCCCTAGACAACCACGAGCAACGCGTATCGATGCAATATACCGTTAAATCCAGTCCAGGAGGAGTAACTCGTTATTTGACTTGCTCGAGCGTACGAACAACTTACGGTGTTTATGCAGTCACGTGACAACATAATATAAGGTTCCATCCGAGCAGAAATTCGGTGCCTATGCTACGTTCGATTAAGTATTCGGCATGGCAGTCGACTGAGGCTCTTTCTCCTGTTCTGTCCAATGTCCTTATGCAATACTGTACTGCAGAGTGGTTCAATCGCATATGACATAGTTACGACTCATACTTATTCGTTGTTGGCATTCAGCCATTTCAGCGAAGCTCAATCGCTTCGATCATATTGGTGAGAGTTTAGCAGACACGGACTAGGTTACGGCTTTGCTACCGTAAAGAATGTCTAGTGCGACACGTTGTTGCACTTGGTTTCAGGGTAGAGCGCGC